TATAGCTACTTCTACTGTCATTTATACTACTAGTACACATTCGACCACTGACAGATGGTGTTATATATATATATATATATATATATATATATGGGTTATGAGAAAAGGTTATGGCGTTATATACGCACCACCACCTGATCAGCTGGTATACGTTGATGATTTTGCCCATAGTGGCCGAGATGATATGATGGGATGCCCTCGTATGCTTGATGATGTTATGAACACATGTACCTATGCACGATATGACATTCATACGCATATGGATGACACTATAAGTATTTCATGATTTACAGAGTTATCCAGACTTACAGGTTGAGTCACTTACTCTATATTTCTTCCATGTCGTTTATGTATTTATTATGTGCCTTACATACTCGGTACATTATTCGTAATGACGTCCCTTCTGGCTGGGGACGCTGTGTTTCATGCCTGCAGGTCCTGATAGATAGGTCGAGAGTCCTCCAAGTAGGCTATCAGCTCAGCGGAAGATGTTGGTGCGCTCCATTTGCTCTAGAGTTGCTTGTTTGGTCAATATGATTTAGACGCGTATTGTTTGGTATGGCGGGGCCATGTCCCGACCTTTATGATAAGTATGTACTCTTAGAGGCTTTTAGACAGATGTCATGTATACGGATACTTGTATGGCCTTGTCGGCCTATGTTTCGAGTATATAAAGAATCATGCCGGCCTTATAGGCCCGTACTTCATATGTATAAGTTTGTATTCCCTCATGCTTTACTCCAGTTCATTTACCTATGATAGAATGATATGAAAGATACGTTATGTTGGTACTCGGTTGAGTAAGGTATCGGGTGCCCGTCACGGCCCATCGGTTTGGGTCGTGACAAGACTAACCAAATATGGCCACTTCTTAGCCCTTAAACACCCCTACACAGCCCAAGATGTGGCTGAGTTATTCTTAAAGGAGGTCTACAGGCTACATGGACTTCCAAAATCAATAGTATCGGACAGGGACTCGGTGTTCACTAGCCAGTTTTGGCAGACACTATTTAGAACTATGGGTACTCAGCTGAAACTATCTACTGCTTACCATCCCCAGACGGATGGACAAACGGAAAGACTCAACAGGTGCTTAGAATCCTACCTAAGAGCAATGGTGTTCTCACACCCTAAACAGTGGGTGAAAGGGCTACCTTTAGCTGAATGGTGGTATAACACTAACTACCACAACTCCCTCAAGACTACACCCTTTCAAGCGATATATGGATTCCCACCCCCACATATTTCCTTGGGGTCATTACCCCACTCTACTCAATCCCAAGTGGGAGTTTGTTTATCCCAGAGACAACAGATGCTACAAAATCTAAAGGAAAACCTTTCTCAAGCCCAGGCACGAATGACATTCTATGCAGATCAACATCGAACAGATAGGGTTTTAACAGAAAGGGAATGGGTTTATCTCAAGCTACAACCTTACAGACAAACGTCTCTAGCAGTCAGAAGAAACTTAAAGTTGAGCGCTAAGTACTATGGACCTTATAAAGTTCTGCAGCGTGTGGGATCGGTTGCTTATCGTTTGGAGTTATCGCCGGGCTCTTAGCTCCACCCTGTTTTCCACATATCCTAGCTGTAACGCCGAGTAGGTCCAACTATTACACCACAACAACAGCCACCAGTGTGCGATAGTGAAGGCCGTGTACTGGTACATCCACTGGATATTCTTCAACGAAGAACGGTGAAGTTTAATAACGCTGTGATGGTGAAGGTGCTTGTTCAGTGGACCAATCTTGGTCCTGAAGATGCTACGTGGGAGGACTGGGGTTATATCCGCAGTCAATTTCCGACATTTGTTGCTAACCTACGACCTTGAGGACAAGGTCTGTCTGAAGAGGAAGGGATTGTTAGGGTTTAGATAATATCGAATAAGGTCGGAAATGAATTGGGAAAGAAGATATTAGTGTATAAGTAAGACATTACACGTGTAAGGAGATTAGATTAGAGAAGAAACGTGGAGGCTTTAGATGCAAGTATCAGCATCCTAAAGAATGGCTGAGATTAATAGTTCATTAATAAAGGAATTGTGGTGATCTATTGGGCTGCAAGTTGTTATGGGCCAACTGTATAACAACCTTCCAGTTGGACTGAGGAGTTAGTTTTGGACCGGTAATTTTCTGTTATTTCTTTCTTCTCATTTCTTCTCCTTCTCGATTTTCTCCATCCTTCTTACTTCTCATCTTCCTTCTTCATTTCAAGTGGAAGCTCATTAATGAAGTCAAACCTTAGTTACTAGTTGAAATTCAATAATTGTTGTACTGTTGATTGAGACATCCAATTCAATAATAAAAATTCCTTCGTGTCACTATTCTCTTATTTCTTTGAGTACATTACAAACAGTCAGAAAAAAAAAAAGGCATATTTTCCTTAAGAAAAAAAGCATATCCTCACAATTGAGTTCACCATTTAGTAAAAACTGTGTATTTCTGCAAACTATACAGCTGACACCAATGCAGCAGACTGCTGGCATGCTATTTGATTGAATCAAAGAATAGTCACTTTCGTAAAGCTTTTGCAGTTCTATATCGGTATCGTCCATGTTGCCTATGCAAATCTGGAGTAACCTATATATACACACACATACATAGATCATGGTTTCGCTTGAACAGCTTTAGAGACATCGAGATGATTAAGACGGCATGTTCCAAGAAGATATTCAGGAAGCTCCTCTGTTGTGTTGGCCTGTGAAGAAAGATATTTCAGATAGTTGTTCCAATAAGACACTCAATGCTTGTCAACCTCATTGAAATTCAATGTAATTGACAACATTGGCACTTTCCACAATTTAAAACCATATGCTTAAATGGAGAATGGGACATGAACATTACCTGGACAAGAAACGCCATTTCAATGACAAGGTTGTTTAGATATCCAACAACAAGGCTTACGACTCCCCTTGCCACAGTAGAAGAGCCAACATCGATATCAAGCTGAAAGACCACAAAATTTTTTGAGAATCCGCTATGAGGAAAAAATTTCTTCCACGTTAAAAGATGTTTCACTGTGGAGGGATTTGAATGTCAATACAAGGAGGAGTATTTCACCTATTATTCTAAAGATAATTAAATTTTGACCTACAAACGCGTCAACATATAACAGCAATCCACAAATTGCCACATGAATCAAACAGAAACTGAAAGCCCTCCCCCTCCCCAGTAATCTTCTATCCTTTGTCGCACACACCAACTAAAAGGAAGATGAAAAGAAATAACCTAAAACCCATGAACTCATCCACATGAAATTAGTGCAACCGAAAAGTATTGATGACTACACACCTCTGCTGAGAAGTTCAAATCTCAGCAAGGAGTATGGGTTGTTAGATGTCCCACATTGGTTCAAGACTCAAGCTAGTATCTATGTTATTAACTTGGTAAAAGTATTCTACTTTCGTCGAGAGGAGATATTGAACTTCTGCCATAGTGGAAGTAGTTCATTCACACATCTTGGAAATGGCCGTATTAACTGCACCAACTATTAGCAGCTACACATGCAAACAAAATTAAAGCATCATTTCCTGTCAAAGTACTCTTGAAATTTACCTCCAAGTAGTTCTTTCCCCGAAAATAATTAATTTCAAGTGCTTGACCTACAATGCATGCTTTCTTCCCAACACTCTGCTTGACTAACCATGGTCCCTGACAAAAATAAAAAAAAAAATCAAGATTCCTGATCTTTAAAAGGATTGAAAAATTGTTAAAGTGCTATTAGCAGTGCTGATAAAAGCACATAGTCCAACCAAAAAGCTAACAAGAAAGCAGAAAAGAATTACGATGCAGGACTCTAGGATGACATGTATTTTGGGAAAATAACTTGAGCATGCAATATCCCTCTCTGCATTTCTCCATTAAATTAAATTTGTTCGGTTATGATTGTTTTTATTGTTGAAAAATTACTTGAAGTTGTAAAATTGACCTCTGAGAAGTGAAAAGGTTCATGTCTGTCATTGGAACTGGAAGAGGCATTCAGTTTTCTTAAGATTGTGAGAGCAACTTGCTGCTGTGCAGTCAATAGCTGCGAACTCAGGAAGGTACAGGGCAAAAGTTCTACCACCAACCATTCTCAAGAACATTGATATGGCTCAGTGCAAACGTAACAAGACTGATGGCATGCCCTAGCTTTTACTAATGCGTTGAGCAACTTAAATAAAAATAATTATTATTAAACTTGTGAAAAAGAGAATCTGTTCAATCTCAATTATCAGAAAACAAACCTTGGATATGTACGGTATGAGCTTGAAACTTGAATTTCTATAAGCATCATCTCCTTTGACGAAACTCTCCAGCAAGGGTGCATTTTCTATTGGAGTGTCCATCATATAGTAGAGACCAAGGCTGTATGTTGTTGAACCTGGTACCTGAATGTAAGAAACATTCAGCTACATGACGGATTTCTCTGGAATTCTGAAGGAAAAAAGAAAAGACATATAAAAGAAGCTAGAGAATATACCTGTATATTCACAATGAAGAAAAATTCTGGACCACCCTTAGCTGCATATTCTGCAGATAAAAACTGGTAAGCAGCAGGTTTACAGACTACATGTGTATGTTAAGTGTCATTGNAGCCTATGGGTTCTAGGTATCGAGAAGCCTGATTAAGAGAGTAACGAAGAGTTAGAGACGATGTGTTGTCTCGCTTGATGATCCAGAATAACACAAGGAAATCTATGGTGCAAGCAAGTTGAAGGAAGGTTGAGAGTAGTATAAATAGACATGTATAGGTCGCAAACTAAAGTATGGTGAAGCAACAGGTTTTCGGAAGACATGAGTAAGGACAAGAAAGGGCGAGTAAGAAGGTGACGAGAAATGGATAAGTACTCGGAATTAAGCCCAGGAAAACAAAAGAGCTGATAGTTTCTGTAAGTTATAGAAAGCTCAGTATAGCCTGAAAGAACTCAAAGGAGTCTAAGACTGGTAGCATTTAGAAGAGATGGAATGTTGCCCTGGTAATACAAAGAGGATGTAGTGTGATAATAGGATGACGTTGGCTTTGATGAGTATAGTA